ATAAAAAGCAAAAGAAAAAGTTGGAGTGAGACAACATGGTTTAGTGGCTATATTCAAACACAGAAAGAAGGGTGCATTTTTCATAAAACAACACAACATCAAAGCAGGAAGAACACTGCAGAGAGAAAGTGATTGAGAGCTGGTTAGATTTTAATGGGAGAGGATAACAAGGGATTGCTTGGAGTTGTGGTAATGAGATGGAAGGGTATATGTGGTAGGTTGAGACTACAGAAAGAAAATGTCTGGCGTGAAATTTGGAAAGCAGATGCACAAGAATGACCACAGATCCATCTGAGAGCTATCTATGTCTTTTCAGCAGTTAATCTGGAGCATGATGGCCAATGACAACAAAGATGGGGAACTGACTATGTAAGGAAATGCTGCCTAGTAGCTCGTTTTATTGTGTTAGAGTTGGCAGAAGCCCAAAGCTGGTAGTGCTATAAGACACGATGAAATATGAAAAGTTCTGGCAGGCAGTGTAGATAAAACAAGACTGAGGACAACTGGGACTACAGGCCTGATTTAATGAGTCTGGTATTGTAGAAGGAAAGAGCCAGACAAGATCAAGAAGGGAACCCACATGATGAGGTACACTAGAGTACAACAGAAAGTGTAGAAGTTGCTTCTGTGTGGGCAAGCAAATAGTTATGAAAACACCAGTTATTAGGAAAGCTGTTTAAGGAATTCATAGACAAGAATGTGTTTTGAACCCCAGTGATCACTGGCAGCTGGATTCTTCTTACCTAATTTCTCTCAACTAAGAATTAATCTTCTATCCTAAACTAGGTACCCTAGCCCCCTCTCACATCAATGGAGACAATAAGAATACCTTCAAATAGCTATTAGAGATTCAACCTATCTACAAATTATTCTATTTTGACAGCTTGAGTTGTCCATTAGATATTTATATGTTTCCTTGTTGATGTCTCTTTATCTGTACAGGAAATCTAGTTAAGTAGCATCCAGCAGATACCTAACTGCTCCATGATTAAGTTAAGCAAGATGACTCCTTTCCTAAATTTTGCAAGACTCCAATTCATGGTTAAAGTTCTTCTGTCAGTTGTGTTGGTATTAATGTGTGTTGTTAAACGAAAGAACACCTTAAAACAAGGTCTTTCAATCTGATAGCAAATGACAATGCTAACAAGTTGTTACCGCAAGCTCATCTGTGCATTTAGTCATACAACCTGGATTTTGACAAAATCCCCCCCAGGAGACATGGAAGAAGTGCAGAAGTTAAGATTACAAGGTACTCTTCTATTATGAAATATAAACAGCTTTAAAAAAGCAAGAAATGTAAAATTAGGGAATACATTGTCCTTTTTCAGGGAAGGAGACAACAAGTAGAGATTGAGGGATTGGTGCAAAACTTTTTGAATGGCTTTAGCAAGCAGCAAGAAAAGATGGTGAACAATGGTGAAGGTGAATCAGGAGGAGGAGCATGTGAATTTATTGAAATAACCACGAACAACTTACAGATCCTGTTTACAACATGCTGGGGGAGCATTCTGACAGATGAAACAGAGTAGATGTGATTCACATTAAAAAGAACCATTTTAGTGACTCACATGTTAACAATCAGGGAAGCAAAGATGTATCATGGTGGATACATCTGCTTATCGAGAAACCTGCTCAATGAGCAGAGATAGAAAGAAAGCAGGATGTTAGGCTGTATTGAGATAAAGACAGAAATAATGCTGAAAATATTATAAGGTTGTTATGTAAAACAGTGACGCATCCTCACTGTGTTTGTGGCATTCAGTTCTGATCACAAAATCTTGATGAGATTAGTGTGGAAAATGAAATGGTTGGGGAGACAGGCAATAAAAATTATTAAAGGCAAAGAAAAACTTATTTATGATGGAGATAAAGAGGACAGGGACTACAACAGGAGTGCAAACAGGGGCCTGCTTTAGAAAGCCATTACAATTTCTAGGAGAATTCTTGGTGTGTGCATAGTTGCTGCAGCTTAGATTAGCAAAAGCTTGGAAAACAGTGAAAACACTGAAGCTTTAACTACTCAGTGTAATTTAAAGAGGAATGATCCCTACTGTGGGTATCTTAACAGTAATCAGAAGCATCTACTTATTCTTAAACCCAAAAGGAATAGAACTGCAACAGGATTGCTTGTGTACATTAAAAAGCAGCCTATTTACAACACAGAAAAAGCAGCACTGCTTTCCTTTACACATAAGTACAAACTGATTTCCATGAGGTTTTAGTCTGTCAAGTTTGAAAAAGTTGTATGAATAAATAACGCATGTGGTCTCCCTAAGTAAAGCTGACTAAAACCAGTATGTGAGCCATTTAAGTCTTCAGTCTTCAGGCAAAAAAATTAAGCACCAGTATGCATTACTTAACAACTGAAACAGGCTGCAAGGGTTCAATTACTGTGACTCAGCTAACAAGCAGCAGCTTACTATCATCACTTGCAATCACTTCTCTTTCTCCTGCAATACTTAGTTCCCAAACACGTGACAAGTTGAAAGTTGAACTGAGATCATCTGCAACTGGAACATTTTACTACATTATTTATTTCCTCATTTATTTCTCTGGAGACAATCTCAAAACTTCTCCCAAACTTGTCTTGTACTCTTCTTTCCCTCTTCTGGAGCTTCTTTCATCAAGTTACAAGACACTAAATGCCATGTGACACCATTTTAAAAAATATTTTGAATTCCTGAGCACTCAGTTCTTCTGAAAACAAAGTTTTAAACTTGTGACTAAATATGCTGTCAGTAGCCAAACATTACGTACAGTTTGGTTAAGTCTTCACCCAGGCAATAAGATAAATTCAGGATCTCCTTATACTCTGTGTAATTCCATTTACTTTTCAAATGATATGGCAGTTTGTATAGTACTAGCTCCACTGCTTTCAACTGTCCATCGGCATTATTCCTATGAGGAATATCTGGTTCTCACACCTCTTTTCTGCTCCCACTGAAATCAATGGCAAAATTTCCTCTGACTTCTTTCAGTAAAAGCAGAAAAGCCAGTAGAGGGAGCACAAATACACAGAAATCATTGCGGTTCCTATATAAATGATAACGTCTACTGTTTTTTCCTATAGTATTTGCACTATTTCCCCCCCCCCCCCCCACAAAAACCCTTTTCCCCCCCCCCCCAATCAAAAATACTATCTTGATCAGGCTCCAACAGATGTAGGTAAGGATGTTGTTTAGTGACTATTCCTGCAGCCCCTGGGACCTCAGGACTCGCTGAGAGGCCCAGGCTGGACCCTGCAAAACTGATCTTGGCAAAATAGTGTTTTCTACTTACGCAGCACTGCTGGGCAGACCAGCATAATATGGGGCACATCTCTGGCTCTTGGACATAACCAGAGCTCTGCTGACTGATGACCTCTGCCAGCTGATCGTTGCATGTGAGCACACAGGTTGGGTGAACCAGTACAATACATCACAACATGACTAAACAGTGACTTCCCACCCTGAACCCCTGCTCGTTCAGCAAGCTGCAGCCTTCAGCAGCAGTCTAAGCCTTTATGTGAGCCCAGTGCCACTAGCTGTACTGAGAAAGGTCACACCTCTGTCCCCTCTCTGTCCACTGCGACTACTGTTGCCTGGAAGAGGTTGCTTTGCTGCAGGACTCAGAAAGCGTGTTGCTCTGCAGCTGAGAAGGTCTCAGGGAATAATACAGGATCTCTATCCTCTTTACTTCTAAAATACAGGAGTTTCAAATGGGATCTCAGGATTGCTGTGCTCTTTGAGAGCTTCCCTCATAAAGGAGGGAAAGATCTAACATCTTCAGGAGACTGACTCAAAAAGAAACACCCCACACCCCCCTAAGAAACCAAATGTAAACTGCTGAGTTTCTTCTTCCATCGTCAGGCTTTCCTGTGCTGGAGAACACAGAGCCTGCCCTCCCCTCCATCCTGCTTTGTTTGATACCACATACATGCAACTATTGCAAAAGCACTTGCCAGTAGCATAGGTCTGCTCCCATTAAAGAAAAATAGAGTTAGATAAATGACAAGTGCTTTGGGAAATGCTACACAGGATAAGATAGAAAAAAAGAGTATATAAGCACTTGGATATGAACCATTTTCAAAACAAACAAAAAAGTCATCTTAGAGATTCACTGGCTCTCTACTAAATTTGGGAGGGCGGAATCATCAGTTTGGAGTTCAGGGAGGCTGAGATTCTCAGAAACATAGGAAAGGCTGCTGCTGTGACTGGAGGTGTAGGCAGGACTAGCCAACAGGCACTATGACCAATAGGAATGCGAAACTGAATGTTTAAATGTGGGACATTAAGTGTTAAGTACCTTTTTGCTAATCACATTTGATGTCTTTTCCATCCTCTATTTCCTTTCTTACAGAGAAAAAAAAGTGTCTTTGCTCCACAGACAAAACTAATGCATTTGACTTTAGAGCACTATAAAGAATACTATAAAAAGAACTATAGAAATCTTTGTGGACCTTGGTGAAGTTGCTGCACCCATCCTGAAGTCTGACACCTACCTGGTGCCTTACACTGAATAATAATTTCCCTAAAAATACTTTCTGTCTGCCGATATAGTAATATAATACAAATGGCTATAATATAACTATATCTGAGTTTCTAGTGAAGAAGACTTTATATTTTCTCTTTCTTTTCTATGCATGTTCCAAAACATTTCAAGCCCCAGTCTAGCAGGTGAATGCTAACCAAGGAACTGAGCTTGACAGGCCAAATATGCCTCTCCTGTCTCATATTCCTATTGCACTTTCACTGCACAGAAGTTTTCAGTTGGCCCTATATTCATCTTTAGAAGAAGAAAAAGAGTAAGTGGATAACTTCTGAATGTACAAATAAACAATATAATATGACCTTAGATGATAATTACATATATAGCATGCACTAACATACCATGTACAATAGAATTCATCTTTTGTTATTAAAAATGCTAAAGAAGAGGTGGTTTTTTGAAAGACAGTCCATGAGGAGTAGAAGATTTCTGTGCATCTGTTTTGATAATCATTCAGGCTACAGACACTTTACCTGCTGGCCTGGTTTGAGCGGTGATAGTGTTATTCCCTGGGTATTGATCACTGGGAGTATCTGGTTGCCGATGACGGTAGCGATGATCTGACCCTGGGCATTGGTCAATAACTGTGGAGTTATTGGCTGCACCTGAAGTCCCTGAGCTCCACCTGCCGCCTGGCTGGAGGGGACTGGGTTAGGCATCAGTGGGATTGTTCCAATAATCTGGAAAAAAAGACACAGAATGGGAAAATGCACGCATACTGCATATACTCGCCACATGTAATTACTTGTTTTATGCATGTTACATCAAACTTGGGTGAGGTAAGCACAGAGAAACAGAGATAATGGGCTGAAGGCCTCATCACCACGTTCCTTTTCTGGGGTGATGAGGACTTTCAAGCTCATTTCTTGTGTCACATATCACCTGTAGGCTCTACCACCATCCACTGTAATCCCCAACGAATCTGCTGTCGCTGAGTGTCTGAAACAAATGCTGGGCCACGTTCTGGCCCCTGGATGATGCTTTGCTCCCACCTCTCATTTGAACACAGAGTGGAATAGATGCACATACCAGTCCATTCATCTTGCTTTCTACATCTCATCCGTACAACTGTGATCTTCTGGTGCTTATGTAATTTTCCTGGGTTTACTGATGCCTAGTAAGATGACCACCTATTTCTTCCGTGTGATCTCAGGAAGGATCAAAGAGATACTGGTGCCTTTCAGGACAAGGCTTATTAAGGTACGTTCATAAAAATGCAGCTGCTTTTGGATGACAACTAAGTAGTACAACACAAGAGGAGGGCTGGTGTTAGATAAAACATTTTAGCTAACATTTCTGGGGCAAGTACTTGCAGAAGGAGACACTTGTGACATCTCAGACTTGACAATACAGTGATTTCCTAAAATGTGAACATGCCTGTAAAACTTACATTAGGATGAGATGTCAAACAGATGCTGTAAGAAAGCTTGTCAGTCAATAAGCCGCTAGGCTGAAGTTACACTGCCGGAGGACTCTTTTTACAAGTATTAGAACATCTGAAACAAACTTCTGATGAAACTTTGGAATAAACACAAACTTTTTGTTTGGTTGGTTTTGCAAACAACAACTGGTGAAGCTACAGTCACTGGATTATTGCAACAGGAAAAGTAAAAAACCCAGCAGTACACATCTCTATTTCCTTCACCACATCTCTGACTTTATCATGGCATCCCAGAAAGCGTCTATCCCATTGTAAGGCTTCCAGTCTTTCCTCTCCAGAAGCCTTGCTTCTTCCTCTTTATCCTCAGCATCCAACACACTGCATGTCCTTTTATCCCCCACTAGTAGGATCCCAGTGGCCCTTATCACATTCATTGACTACTGTAGATCTTCTTGTTTGCTGAGAAATAGGGTCTCAAAAATGGTATCTCTAAAGATATCACTTAAGTTCTTCTTATTAAAAGCTAGACAGATCAATAAAGATTATTATCCCCATTTTGCAGAGCAGGAAAGTGGAGCATGATGGAACATATTCAAACAGGTTGTGAGTTAGCCTTCTTTAAGCTGGAACTTCTGCAAGGTTCTCTCTGCAGATCAGATACTTCTATTTCTTTTTAAGGTGTCCCTAGCTGAACTGCAGCTGCTTTGCTGCCCATGTGAGGAGATGGTTGTTCACTGGGGAGGGACACATTTATTTAAATCCTTATCAGATTTCAGAATGCTCTCTAAAATCTCACTTTCATCATGAATTTCATCATGTAACTTTCATACAGTGCAACACGTAAATTTCTCCCAGTTTTTTGGCAACCTAAACTATTTATGGGTCACAAATATATTTTTTCACTTTTAATGTATCACACCAAACACAAGGAATAATCCTTTTAATTTTATCAGCAGAAACATAGCAAAGGCCTCTCCTTCCTTTGCCACATCAGTAAAGGACACGACCTTGGAGTGTCATTACTCCAATGTAACTTTAACTATCAAGGTCCTAATCTCAGCAAAGCAAAAAATGCTGCGCTGGTGTTATCAGTAATAGAAATGTTTGCATTCACATTTAAAATGCATTTCTTGGACTGCAGTTGGACATTTCATAGAATGACAATGCTGAAGTGGACAGTTTGTAAGGTCAGAAGCAGAAGGCTATCTATATGTATTAATGTGTGTCACACGCCATTCTGTACATGGCACGCTGTACATGCACACAGCCAGAAATGGAGCAGGGGAAACACAGCTGGGAGAGGTCTTCCACAAAGACAAAGGAACAAATGCTCTCAGGGTGTTACCGGAGGAGCCAAGGGTAAACCTGAATGGGAAATAGTTTTTCCACCTTGTGAAACTTACTGAGATTTCAAGATATTCCCCCCCCCCCGCCTCCTCCATTTTATACCAAAATAAAGTCAAACCTTCTCTGGTTGAAAAGAAAAACAAAAAAAGACAGGCACTTGTTTCTAGTTAACCAACAGGGCTACTCTTTATGGCATGTATCTTTGATTCAAGTTTCCTCTTTCAAGTTCCCCCTTCTCCAAGTACCCTCCCTGAAATACCCTAACAGCTCCCTGATTGACACACAGGGAGTAGTACTGAAACTGGATCCCCTCCTCAAGCCTTGTGTCACTGTCCTGATGCTGAGCCAGGTCCCTCTTCCTCTAATTTTGGTATGAAATTTCACCCTGGGTCTTGCTAATCTGTACTGTTAGAGTATCATAAAGGCTGGCACTTGGTCAAGGTAATTTATGGTTTCAATACATTTAAATTTTCTAAAGAAGTAAAACAAGACCATGCCACAGGCTTGAGACACTGGTGTGCCACAGTACAGAGTATTTAACAGCCAGTGGTTTTCTATGTCTTGAGGCATTGGTCCTTTCTAGCAAATGCTGCTGTTTCAGATTATAATCAAGGAATATATACAGTTCAAGAATAGCATGTGACAGAGACTTATCCCACAAGATAATTACAGAATCACACAATCACAGTATGGTTTGCATTGGAAGGGCCCTTTTAAAGCTCATCTAGCTCCAAACCCCCTGCCATGGGCAGGGGCACCTCCCACTAGAGCAGGTTGCTCCAAGCCCCTGTGTCCAACCTGGCCTTGAACACTGCCAGGGATGGGGCAGCCACAGCTTCTCTGAGACACAGCAGAGGCTTCTTACTCTGTCATGTTTGGACTCAAATTCATAAGCGATCCCACCTGTCAAACACCTGGTTTTATCTGTTGGAGGTACAGGTTCCATAGGTAAGCACAAACTGTAGTGCAGATATGACACTGGAAATAGTACCAAGATATTGAGTCCAAGTTCAGGCCCCAGCTTTTTTTACAGAGACATGGTTTTGGTCCACCACTAATTACGACACCAAGACTGTAACTGTGACCCTGTACATGTGATAGAGTGTTGTGAGAAGTCCTGGTGGATTCAGACTTGTACTTCAAGTATTCAATAAGATTCTTTCATTTTGTTTATGTATTACTAGATACATCAGTTGCATCTTGAGGGGCTTAGAGAGAAGCGTTTATAGATGTTAATTTAGGTTTTTATGTTTCCCAAATTTGATATTTGTTTCTAAATTCAAAAGACATCAAGGGTCATTTTTTAGAGCATCTGAATATTTTCCATTGATTTATCTGTTAGTGTCATTTTAGCATCCTAGGCTTTCAAGATATTTAAGATCAGGCCTCTCAAATCTTACAATTGCCATTGCAAAGACAACTTCCAGTATTACGTGTTATTTATAAGAGATAAAGTTTGGCTTGAGATACAAGGCTTGGCTTGCACAGGAAGTTAATTTGTTGATCTGCTCCTACATACCATCTGTGGGCTCAGTGGTCTGTGCTTACATAGGTCTGCAAACTGTAAATTCATCTGCAATGAAAGAATACGCACACAATCAAAGTGAACGTAAAATCCCAAGTAATGGAGCTGAGCATGGAGGGGAAAAAATCCAAGCCCTCTGCATATCGACTGTATCTGTGAGTGTTACCCCCAGTGACAGGGTAATGTCCTAGCACTGATGAAATGCTAGTCACTGTTGTACTGTCAGATTTTGGTTCCTTGCCTTGCTCAGTAAAGGTTTCTTCTTAGAAAGGAGATAAAAACACCTGATCCCTTAAAAATGATCCCTTAATGGATCTTTAAGAAAGAATAACATTAAAAAATACCCATTCTTATCCTTTCTTGACTGACAACACATCTTCATATTTAACTGCCTTTGTGGATTACTTCGCTGTAACTCATGGGCTGAACCGGAAGGCAGAAGCTGAGCCATTGGCTCAGAACTTCTGGGGTTAAATGCCTAATTGTAGTCCCGTTTGTGCTGTAGGTGTAAAAACCAGATTTTGCATAACTGTATGAAGGACTAATTGCTGATTTCCCAGCAGTGATTCCTTCCTTGTGGCTCCTAATAAACCAAAGGCACCAAAACACCAATGTGTTTTGACATTAGGTAAAGTTTCTGTGATACTCTAAAATAAAGCACACAATTGGTTTTTACTGAGTTCTTCTCCCTCTCCCCTCACCAGAAACAGGGACGCTGCCCTGCTTCATTGTTTTCTTAGCACAACCAAAGGAATCTTACTGTAGCCAAATGGATGGTTCAACAGCTGCCTTTGTTTCTGCTGTGAAAAGGCTACGTAAAATCAAAGACTCACTACACTAGGTTGTTTCTACTGTCAGCCAGGGCTGACATAAAGCAAATAGTTCCATCTGTATAGTCTTTAACTATAAGAAGGTAAAGTTTTTTTTCAGTAGTACAATCAAAATGAAAGTATCTGATTTTATCAGTGTTGCAGCCCTTTAAATATTGAAGGTTAATTATTCAGTTTTGAACAACAGAAGAACAACATAAACATAAAATACAAAAAACCCAGGGAAAAAGTAAAAGGAGCAACAGAAAAATTGTTCAGTGAAATGAGGCAAACCACCATATACACATAAGCTAATTTAACATCTCAAACTGTGAATAGAATGCATGGAAGTTTTACGCCTATGTAGTGAGCCAAAAGATCACTGAGTGAATGTTTGCTGATTTAAATATGCTTCAATCATCTTCATTTTCTAGTCCTCAGAATATAATCTGAAATAAATGCTCACTTTGTGTGCCCCTTTCTTGATCATACACATATATACACACACAACATATAAATTATACAGTCACATATTTTTTTTAGATATATATATGATTATCTACCAATATCAATAAACTCAGCTATTTATGTACACTATACTATATATACTACCAATCT